TCGAAGAGCAGCTCTTCGACCGATCCGTCCTCCGGCCCGACCTGGTCGTCTGCATGAATCCCCTCGAGAACTACGTTCTGCTGCACGAGTGTGCGCTGAACAACATTCCCACCATCGGCGTCATTGACACAAACGCGGACCCCACCTGGGTCACCTACCCTATCCCTGCCAACGACGACAGGTAAGACGTCTCCCACAAGCGGCTACTGTTTCAGGCTAACACACCACAGTCTACGCTGCATACAAGTCATCGCTGGCGTCCTAGGTCGTGCCGGAGAAACCGGCCAAAAGCAACGGCTTGCGGCCGCCGCTGAAGGCCGCATCACCTACCGCCCAGCACAAGGCTTGACATTAGCCAGCACAGATGTGGATGCCAAGAGCGCAGAAAGCGTGAAACCCGAACGCAGATCTGTAGGACGGATGGGTACGAATGTCCCCCTGGAGCAAGTCGACGAAGCAGCGGGACCGATAGACACGGGCTTAGAGGATGCCAATGAAATGGCCACCAAACTGGACGAGGTGGCCAACCACGAGAGCCATCGGACGAGAGAAGGCAGAGATCTCAAAGTCTCCTCATAGAGCGTTTGTATAGCATGTAAATCTACAGTACGAATATTATGCATAGGATCAGGTCTCACCTTCACGCGCACGCTTACTCATGCCGTTATTTGTGTTCAGTTGTCACGCCTCAGGACCACACCAAACATCAAACTATCGAATTTGAGCGCCGTATCTCACGACACCAACTTCACAAGTGCGCATCCAATCTTAAACACCAACAGTAACATTTGCATCCCAAACAAAACATCAACACCATAACATTCCCAGTTCTAAGTTGTGGATCTACAGGATCTCCACGGCACCTATCCGGAACGAGCCTGAGCTCTTTTCCCCCGGAGCCACCCACAGCTGTGCAGCGCACCCAGCCAAAAACACCGCAACGTTGCGATAAAGCCTGGCCCATCACAACCGTGCTAGCAGCAACACGGAACCTGCAACCGCCCGACTAACCCTCTAGCTCAGGCCTAGGAGCCGAGCCGGAAAAAGGAGGAAAAGCACATACCGAGAGTCCCAAGGGCAGACAGAAGAAGCAAGCGTCACATTTGTTCCGATGCAGGAACATGACGTCAATCGTGCTAGTGCATCGACTCGCGATCGGAAGTTTGTGCCGTCATCGAATGAACAGTGCACACGCAGGGCAGCCCCGTAGTATTGGGCGCGCATTTCACCGGAGAGGATTGAAACGTAGTGAGGCGGTAAAGGAAGAAGGGGGAAGGCAAAAGCAGGCGGTGTGGGGGGTTTTAGTAGTTGGTTGGTAGAAGGCGAATGAGAGATATTATTAGGTAGGGGTTAAGTGCAACTTTACGAGACGAAGGCTATCAAAGGGGATGGGTTGTGGAGTTCTATACAGAGAGTTTGTTTTCAGGGCTACACATTAGAGCGATGGTGTGCCAACCCGGCCGTTTACCAAACCATCATAGTGAATGCCACGAAGGGGAAAGGGATTATGGTTGTTTCGAAGCGTCGGCCAAGGTGTTGAAGGTGCTGTATCGCCGGAGTAGCTGGGCTTTCGAGTCCTAGTCGAGATCGTCGGCGCTGGTTTCTGTTGCTTTTGGCGCTGCGGCTGCGGCGGGCGCTGGGGTTTGGCCGTAGAAGTCTAGTTTGCCTTCGCTCTGGAGGACGCCCATACGGTCGTACAGTGAGCGAGCTCGAACATACGGGTCCAGCTTCCAGTAGTTCTGCCTCAGCTGTTCGGCAATGCTATCCCTTTCTTTCCTCTTCTCGTCCGCTGGCGCACCCTCACCGGCGTGTACCCATTCCAGCACGGAAGTCTCGTAGTTGTCGACGATCTGTTGCCTCTCGCTTTGCAGCTCCTGCTTTGGCTTCTCTTCGGCCATCTTGTCGTTCTCACCAGGCACGGGCTCTGGGAACTTGTACTCCCACTTCTCCTCCCCACCTAGTTCAGTTGGAATCTGCGACTTTGGGATGTAGTTGCTGAGATCGTCGATCGTCTTTGCAAAGTGCACCTTGCCGGCGACGACGGGGTCCAGCCAGCCCTTGACGATACTCCACACGGCGTTGAAGACCCAGGGCGCTCGGTAGACGAGAACGGTGCCAAGCGATTCGGGGTAGTTGGCCTCGAAGCACTTGATCATGAACTTCACCGGCGTGTAGTCCATGTTGGCCATAGAGAAGTCAGTCATGTCGAAGACGATAGTCTGTATTCGGTCAATTGTTGCACATAATCCGGAGAAGAGAATAGACTTACGGCTGTGTCAATCGGAGGCCTCAACAGCATGCGTGCGGTCTCAATAGTGTAGACGGTGAATCTTTCCAGACTTTCCTCCGTCTGCTCGCCGGATTTGTGTAACCTCGCGCGAACAAAACACATCGGCCTTCCTTCAATGTCCAATCCGTGTAGATAGCTCTTGCCCATGCGCAGCTGTGTCAGGAAGTCCTCCGCGTTCTTCTTTGTCTTAGCATCGTCGCTGGTAGTTTGCGCAGCGGCGAGCTCTCCGTTCTTCATGATGTCGTCGTCGACATGCATATCGTTCAACCTCCACTGCATGGTAGAGATCATCATGACTAGCGCCTTCTCCACGTCCCATTTCCGTGCGCGGAGGAATCGGAGAAGGAGAGCATCGGGGTGGTCGTGCTTGACCATCATCCAGAAGGTCCTTCGCAGCTCCTCTGGGGGAATGTTGGCGATCGCTGCCTTGAACTCTGCGGTCTGGCCGAACTTGTCGTCATCGGCGGATATCGACAGCCTGCTAATGTCTGACGGGGTCGAGCCTGTCGAAGCAGTCGACGCCTTGTCGTCTGCGCCCTTCTCGCCCTTATTCCTCTTGAACACGTTCAATCGGCTCTTCTTCTTGTCCTTCTTGCCGTCCGCTGCCGCCTCACTTGTGGTCGGTGATGCGACCTCATCGACCGTGCTCGCAGCTTCCGACCCCGCTTCCACGCCGAAAACCTTCATAACGATCCCCCATAGCTCACGCAGCTTCTTGTCCTCTTCTGGTGTGAGTGTTCCCGGTCGCCCGGCGGGGGTGTTCGGTGCCATGACGAGGTACGAGTCTGTGAGGTCTGCGGTGTTGAAATGAGTCGGGGTGGACTTCCTGGCTATCTTGGGCTCTGAAGAGCTCTGTACGAAGGGGACGAGTAGCACGCCGCCAATTGCAATGCCAGCGACTATTCCTACAGTCCACAGGTTGAGTCCGCTTGTCTTGTGAGGTGCCGGTGCCGTGCTTCGCCGACTGTGATGTAGTAGGTTTGCGCGTGTGACCGGATTCGTAGAGCTATAGGGGGCAGGTGGGGCGCCGCGATACTTTGGGTTATACACGGATAGTTGACGCTTGGGTGTAGAGGTGTGCAGAAGTCGTCGTAGGGGCTGTGCGCGAGGCAACATGGAAAAGTGTCAGGTCGCTGAGCTGAGCCTCGTTATGGCAACTGCTCGCGTCTGCTTAGTGTGACGTCGGCAGAGCTTTCCGGATACGTCGGACGAATATGTAGCCGCGATCTACGTACAGAATGCAGCAGCGGGACGCCTTAGAGCAAGCTGCGGGCAAGTGCGTCTTGTGATAGTTTGCTGAACACAAAGTATCCGGAGACATACAGAGAGGCGTACTTTTGGAAGCAAGAACAATGGCATCATCGACCAATTGGTCTTAGCGCGATTGCCCTGCGTGTGGGGTACTGTTTACTTCGTATCAAGCTCCCGAACTAGGACCGCGTTTCAAGATCTCAGAGGCGTCACAGTACCAGACTGCAATTGCGCGACTGTGCTACCAGATTTACAAGGAGATACATCTACCACCGTGCAAACATGGCGTCCACAACACCCACAACAACACCCTCGTACCGGCGCACACGCAGCAAATCACCACGATCACGTCCGACCACGCCCCTCCGCCCGTCTTCCCGCTCCTCATTACGCGACTCATCCCAACGCGGTCGCGCTGCTTCGGCATCTGGCAACGCGCTTGAAGGCTTACAGGATGGATTCGCCGAGTTGAGCGACGCCATGGCAGACCTTGAGCAAAACTTCTTGCAATTGCAACTTATGCACGAGAGCCTGGCACGTTTCTCAGAGAGTTTTGCGGGGTTTCTGTATGGAATGAACATGAATGCTTTCTGCGTAGACTTCCCGGAGGTGAGTGATGGGAGACTGAAGAGAAGATACAGAGGAGAGAGAACGCGGGATGGTACTGACTCGTCACTAGGCTCCTGTTCCAGAATCCTTCAAGCGCCCACAGAACCAACCTGACCAAGGTGCCGCAAACTTGAATCGCTCTCAAGGCCCAGAAGATATGGAAGCCACGTTCTTAACGACCGACACTTCATTCGTCGACAACCCGCCGAGTAGCAAAATCCACTCCAAATTCCAGAACCCACAAACGCCAGCACCGGCTACGAGAACAAGTGGCGTACCTAGAGGAAGAGGGGGAATACCACGAGCAGGCGGACGGGGTGGTATACCTACACGCGGCGGTGCACCTAGAGGAACCAGGGGTGGTACAGGCATAGCAAGAGGTGTCGCTGGACGTGGTCGCGGAGCACGTTGAGAACGTCGGACAAATCTATGGTGATGTCTCGCTGAGTACAATTTTCATGGCAATGAGGAAGCTTGTTCTATGAATGTTCTATTATCCCACATCGTGTAGGGGTTGCATGGCTACATTGCTAACTGTGGTGCAACCTAGTATTAACTTCCAGAGTCACCATCCGTCTATTACTACCATGATCCCTTCGTCCTAAGAAGCTCATTAATCCAAGATGACCTTCATTACCACCGGTCTAGAAAAAAACAGGTATTAGGTGCAGCTATCCACGCTGTCGTCTTCCTTAAGAAAGGGGTATACTGCGACCAAACCCATTAAACCAAAAAAATAAAGCGTCAAAGTCATAAAGAGGAAATATAGGGTATCAAGTGGAAGTTCCACTTCCTAGATAAGAAAATCGTGACCGGTCGATCGATCAAGGGTATCTCGTAAAAATGTCGCCTACGCCAATACTCCAGCAAGACCCTTTGCGTACTGGCTGCTGCTCTCCTTGCGTAGAGCCCATCCCTTGATAGCGATCACTACAGTCGTCCAAGCCATGAGCAGCGCGGTAAGGCCCATGACAACCGTGAAGATGAACATAGCGTCGAGGTTGTACGATTCCAGAGCTGCGACCGTGTCCTTGTTGCTGACCATGAAGGTGATACCACCCGATATCAGACAAAATGCGGTGACGATTTCCGTAGGCGGCCGGGATGGCAGAAACGAAGTCGGCGGTGAGATGTATAGGGTGATGTAGGTAAGACCGCGGGCAAGAGCAAAGGCCATGAACATGCTGCCCCATTGGGTATGGATCATAGTCGAGACCATTGAGCTCTGATGATGAGAGCTCATCATCTTGCCGAGTAACATAATGATTAGGGCCGGGAGTGGGTTCATCGAAAAGCGATATTGGCTAGGCTGCTTCCAGGACTCGTTTTGTAGCGAGCTTGCTTGAGAGGCAACGACTCCGCTGTTAAGAAGGTCGCGTACCTTAGTCGATTCGATGCACATTCCCAACTAGGAAGAATGTCAGCGATATTACACAGAAAAGGAAGGAGCGACCTTTACTCACCAAACCACCACCAAAGAACATCACCGAAATCGAAACATGTTCCAGATCTTGTGCAGTCCATGCATCGCCCCACGCAGCCAGGTGTTCGAGGAAGACGTTTGTGCAGCCGTATAGCCAGATGACGAAGGATTCGGTAAACTCTGCCGACGGTAGTGCCGCTCTCCGACGACCGACGACTTCCTTCGGTGGCTTCACGTTCCAGGCCCATCCGAAATCTGCAAATGCACCCATCCATCGACCCAAGGTAAGGAAGCCGTATAGAAAGAAGATCCCTCCTTTTACTGTGTGCGCCAGGACGTTGAAAACCGCTCCTCCTCTTCCGATGCCGCCGTAGACGATGGCGCCACTTACAATCGCCGCGAAACCCTGTACCAAGATTGTGCGCTCGATGGCAACGTAGAGGAAGCGAATTGCCTTGAGTGTCCGACCAACTGCGAAGCGCGCCACGCTGCGAGAGAAGAAATTGTCCACCGAGGTGTTGCGAAGGAAGCCGCGCTTCTCGTCGTCGCTGTCGTCGTCGTTACCGAAAGAGTCGTCGTCATGTGTGGATCTTCGAAGAGGGGGAGCGAATTGCTGGTTCTCAGACTCCACGCTGGGGGACTGAGAGGGATCATACAGAGAAGCCGAGTTCCGCTCTGTGCCCTGCCCCGAATCCCCTGACCATCGCGACGGCGCGACAGCCTCTTCGTCGTGTACGCGCTCGTATCTGAGCATATTGGCGGTCGTCATTGGCTCCGCAAATTCGTCCGCTTTCGAGTGAAACTCTGACCTACCAGCGTAGGCCTGGATCAGAGCCACGAACACCCATGCCGAAGCGATCCAGGTGATGGCCCATCCTATCTTGCTGTGTGCATTTCCTGCGTACATCTCCGGTGTCTTGTGGTCGTATACGAGGCCGAGTACGAGCGCGAACGCATTGGTGGCGAGGAAGATCATTTGCGAGGGGAGAGTATATCTTGAGCGAGCGATGCTAAACATGACTGCGATTGGCAAGATGACAATCCAGGCCAGGATCTCAAGCCCTATGTGCCAGTACATAAGCGAAGCATGCTCCGATAAACTCCAATAACCTTCAAAGCCATTGTCTTGCGGTTGCGCCTTCGGCATATCATGTGCGCTCATGTCCATTTCCTTGCTATCGCCATGCGCAGCTGCCAACGGTAAGAGCCCGATTAGCAGCGCCGCGGTGGCTATCGTCAAACTCCTGCGATCCGGCATGTATGTTGTGTTCAGAGAAGGATTAGAGTTGTTCAGGTGAAATGTATTGCGCAAAGCTCAGACAACTGAAATAGCAAGACGCAGACCAGTCGTATGAATGGCTACAGTACTTCAGGATGCGCTGTCAAAGCAACAAGAAGATGAGGGATTCAAGGGAGACAGCAGATGTAACAGGAAGAAATGTTTCAATGCATGTGGCCGCCAGCGCCATGGGCCTAGCTCGCATCTATATTGTTTCCGGAAGTTTCGGAACAAGAAGTTTGAGCAAGTCATTGCGACAAGAGTTTGTCAGCTGCGAAACCCATCCGATCGCATGGCATTCTTCGTTGGCTGTGACGTCGGATGTGATTGTCAGGCGCGGCGTGGGTCCGGGCAAGCACGGACAGAGGGCCATTCCGTCAGCCACCGCTAATGGGATTTTGCGAGCAATCCACCCGGCAAAGTTCGCCATGTTAGTCTTAAGGTTGTGGCTGCATCTATCTCATCATGACATTGAAACCTACGGCGACTTTGGCCTGACAATTGAAACGGCCTCGTCGCCTTTGACTTCGTCGCAGACTCAGTGAGTGTGTCACGCCATGCCTGCGACAAGGCGGATATACAAGCGCCTGCATCGGATTCCGGTGACAACGACCATCCGTCTCGGCCTCCCACACTCGACTTGCGCTCGAATCGAAGATTCACATGCGATCTTCACCACCCTGTCTAGGGTACGTCGGAAGCTAAGACCGCGCGCCTGTCATATCCCAGTTTTCCTTCGCGATTTTGCAAAAATTCAACCACCGCTATCTCCAGGCTTTGTCCGAGCTACACACTCACGAAAGACATCATTGGTGCTTACATCAACCATAGTCACCTGCGCCATGTCTCTAATCCACTCAAGCTTTGTTTTCTCTTGGCAATGCACGCTAGAGGCGGATATAATCCCACGCGCAGACCGCAAGATGATCAAGCTCCGATTTCCATGTGTTTTGCTGGCATCCGGCCAGTCCCGGGCTGACACACCTGTGGCTCAATGTGACAGAAACTTGACGAGAAGACATCATGCCATGGTGCCTCAACCCGAAGGTTCAAGATTGTTTCGCAACTAGATAAGGTTCTAGAGCCGCAAAACTCGTTTCGGAGTATTTATCCGCATATTCAAGATCGCCTCACTTCCATTCTGACGCAACATTACAATCAAGAAATGTCGACGTTGAAGGCAGCACTGGGCTCTGCGACCCCGGCTTTGACTCAGACCTCCAAGTTTCTGCCTAGCGCTCGAAATACTCAATAAGCGCACTTGATGCAAATCTGTCACCGATCCTACGAGGTGTAAATCGCGAACATGCGAAAGATGTGGGGCCAGCGGGCATCCATTCGCTTGGACCTCGCAACTATACCTTCTTCGACAGCGATTCTTCATCATCTGATACTGAACGCCAAGTGTCTGACATATCTTTACATACAGTACATCCGGACTTTCGGAAAGCGTAGAACCGACATCGCTGTTTGTTATTGCCGAGGAGGAGACATTACCATGCATGCTGCAATTCGGGTCATACGATCCATCGACCGGGAGAGGACGACAGCCATGGCATGATGTGTATGGCTTGTATTGACGCGTGTCAGTCACTTGAGACTTATGCCCTTCATCAGTATCATCGCCGATGGCTTATATGAAGTCCCCCAATACCTACCTCGATATCTTCATGCGATTTACGTCTGTTGATCTGGTCATGCATGCATTCTGATATGCTCGGGGACGACACCTAGATGCTGCCATAAGACTTACGCTCACGCCCTGTGCAACGAGATATCGCTCTGTATAGCATGACTGGGCACGCATACTGCAGAGCTATTATCATGCAGTCTGCTGGACGTAGTGCCAACCAGCAGAACGAACTGTTGGGCGCGTCAACCAATCAATGATATCCTACGACTCTCGCTAAGCCTTATGGTTTTTAGAAATTACAGACATATTGAGTATCAAACTTGCGAGCTTCAAGAACGTCTGGCTGCTGTGTGGCCTCGCTCCTGACATCGTGATGGACTTGGCGCCAAGCATTCAAAGAGTCCACGTGACCGCGCGGCGGCCGGAAACATCGACGTGCGCGACCTCGGGACCCAATGATCCATCGAGAACCTCGCGCGCAACAGACCCCGACTACCTTCACCCCAGCAAAACTCGCTCCCCCATAAACATGCTCGACATTGAGGACTTCGACGCGGTATATCGCAATCTTCACTACAACGATGGCCTTGTTCAAGAGATCCAATCATACCGGACTGCGCTCGGTGGGCGCACCTTCTTCGAACGGTTACTGACACTCCTAAACATCAAGGGTAAGTCGCGCACAGTGTTGGGCCTCGCCAAATGCTAATTGGGTACAGGAAGCAAGATGTACCCGCCCAAAAGCTCACAACAGCTTCAAGAGCTCCATCAGCGCATAATCTCCTCCAACACAACACTACACAACAAGCACTGTCTTGTGTTCTACCTACTCAAAGATTTATCGGCGCAACACCACGAAGCGACAGAGCTAGCTGAATCGTTCGCGAAAGACGTACACCTCGAGAAGCGATTCTGGACATTCGTTGAAGGACTCTGGTTCCTCGACCACCTCCAATTCGCGACCGCCGTCGGACACCTTACATACCCCGGCATAATACCTACCTTTCCCGACGAGATCATGTACACCCTCTTGACGGGGCAGGATAAAGTGAGCAGCATGGGCATGGCAAGGGATCCAAAAGATGATATACTGGCACTAGCATACTACAACTGTGTACGGCCGCCGCTGGAGGATCAGAAGACCAGGGACGAGTTCGCCAAATACCTTGCAGGTCGCAATGTTACGGAGATGTACCAGTGGATTCACAGCAGACCGGAGTACGAGCAGCGACCACTGCTAGAGATCCTCGTTGAGCAGACGCTGGATCACCAACCTTGGTCTCAGGACCCTGAACACGAGATGTACACGCGAGACGCTAAGGCGTTTGAGCTGGCGGGCTTGCCGTTCAGTGAAGACGAAGAGGAGTTCATCGAGAAGTTCCTGACCGAGGGCAGGGGCAGGACCTTCCAGAGCGCACAAGATCTGGTTATGATGCGCAGGATTGCTACCGGCAAGCTGGCTGATGTTGCGTCTGATATGGGCACACGCGGACGCAGGATAGATGGTGTGAACTGGGAGAGTTTGAAGGATGGTGTGAAGAGGGGGTTGGGGCCCAGGAAGGATGAGAAGAGCTTCGCCGTCTAAGACGAACAGTCTGCGGAAAGTATCCCGTACATACTCCCTGTTTACTAGTGCATAGCGAAGGCGTTTGGTACAAATTCAACGCGGTGCTTTGGCCCTAGCACACCTGCCTCGGATCGTCTCACTAGTTGCTTAGCAGGATGCTGCAGCATCACCTCTTGGCAGCTCCTTTGTTCGGAACACTACTCGGGCGTCAATCGTATTTCGTTTCCTTCGATGTTGACTACAGCGCCACGGCTGACCAGTGCCGTTTCTTGAAGTCCGCGCTACTTGGCAGCTGAATCCCACTAGTGTTGGTGCTCAGTACTCAGCTGCTTGCATTCATCGAAGGCACTCCTCGTTCCTCACTTTAAAGTTATTCAAGGTATTGTTACATTAAAATCGTATGTGGTAACGCGGAAAGTACATCGGGTAACACTATGGAGCGGAGGTCTCAAGCGAAAAGAAGACGATGCAAAAGCGAGCGCGAAATCAATACACATATGAACTCCCAGCTGATCTTGGCGTGTTCGCTCCACTCCCCATTGGGCTCGAGCCTGGACTCAAGCCACCTCTTCGCCTGTCAGCCCCGAAGAACCTTTCCAGCTCTTCCGCCGGCCCGAGTACATCCTGATAATAGCTACTTTCGATGCTCTTCTCCGTCATAATATCATTGTCTTGCAGTACATTAAGACAGAAAAACACCATGTTTCCCAATAACATGTTGCTCCTCAGCTCGACCTGCGATGCGACATCGTGAGCACTGACCTCCTCGCCATCGTTGATGTACAAGCGTGTCTTGTGGGTCGCGGTGTCGAAATCGATGTACGAAAATGGTGATTTGAGTGCTATCTCGGCGAGGACGAGTCCGATGCGGAAGATTTGGATGTGTTTGGAGAGATCGCGACCATCTCTCCTTTGGCGATTCATTTGGTAGCATTGGTTCAGGGTACGTGTTGTCATCGATGAGCCAGGCGCTGCGGTCAGCATGCTAGCCCACTTCCCATCCTTCGTTCTCCGCCAGCGTACATTCGAGCAGTCGAGGAATGACAACCATTGGCTTCCTATCAATCGGAAACAGCCTTGGGCGATGCCAGTCGCTATCGCATTTTGGTCTTGAGAGTATAGCGTTTGTGAGCCGAGGTAGACGTTCTGATCGCGAATCACACTCGATAGGGCTTCCTTGTACTGCAAGTCAGAGAGAAGGTTTGTTGGTGGTTTCTTGACCGTGAAGCCTGCTGATGTTGACAAAGGCGGTATCAGGTAGCAGTTATCCTGCGTCCTGTTCATGAGACTTGACACAGCAGTAGCGAAATTCTTCGGCACCAAAGCTGGTTCATAGATAGCCTTAAGGGTCACAGGATGGACGATGATCTCATGGCTCGCCCCGTTCATGTTGAGCAAGAACGCGAAGTCGCGCTTATGAATGCGAGGGATGGATAAACCGAGATGTAGTCGATTGTTCTGGCTGGAGTCGCTGCATCGGTGTAATCGCTCAGCATCTTTTTGGGCGCGAACGGCGTCCAGAACCCTGCTCTGTATCGTATCCGTCCTTCCGTCTCCGACCTTGATTATCACTCGCCGTCCAGGGAGTCGCTTGACTTCCGAGAAGATCTCTGCGTGCTCTCGCTCGAGGTAAAAGTCGGTAAAACGTTCGAGCATGGTCAGCTTTTGGTATAATCGCCTGAGACGCTCTTCCAGATCGTTTGCTTTTCCAAAGACGCTCAACTCGAATCTGCGCGACCATGTGGTGTTGTGGCGAATTCTCCAAAGACACTCCTTGACCCGATCCTCGTTACTCAAGTGCTGAGTTTCTCCATAATATCCTCTTCTAGACTCGAAATTAAGGGCAAGGCCTCTGACTCGTTTGATGTCGCTCTTGATACTTCCGGTGATCACATTCACAGTACCGATTGTGGCCGTGATCCTTTCGTGCCCTTCTTTTCCAAACAAGATCCTGGTGTGAACATGGGGTCGATGCACTTGGATGTCATATTTCTGTTGCCAGCTGTCTAGAGATAGTTTCGCATAGTCAAGCCCTTCTTTGATGTCGAAGAGTCGTTCGGATAGTCGTCTCCATTGTCTGATTTCAAGGGCAAAGGTGTGTAGAGCCTGTCCTGCTGTATAGAGGCCAGAGATAACGCCAAGAACTTCAGCCATGGCTCGTCCAGCTGGAGTGTTGGGTCGAGTTGAAAATGCGGTTGAGATGTATCTTCTATGACGCCAAGGAGCAGTAAACTCGCGTGCGGCACAGTCGGGAAAACTTTGAGTCGTGTAACCGCAATAGCTACCGAGCGCAGGAACTGTATGGTGCAATTTCGTGTAAGATGTAGTGCGAGTCCAGGATATCAGCGCGGTCGGATGGGGGCTGGGCCATCTTTTAGAGGCGGCAGCCTGAAGTAGTTTCGACATTAAATGGGCGGCCTCATGACCCACGAACTATTGCGGCTGAACAGATGCGAACATCAGCTCACCGGCATTGGTGTGGGGTATTGAGGTGACATTGGTCGGAATTGGCTCCATGCATAGCGGCACAGGGATGACGTTACCGTTTGGTGGTGCTCAGCCCCCAACGGCCCCCAAAGGCGTCTGAAGTCAGCTGCCTGATCAGGCAATTGGGTCGCACTGTTCATATGAGCGTGGCATTCCTACATCTTTTCATTTCTGTTGAGTTCTCGACCCCACTGACAAATTTCTCTTGACACTGGGCGCAGTACCAGACAGAACGTTCCATGCATACCACGGAGCAGGTTTCTTCGTTATAGACACATACCTGCCTTTGTTCGTACCACGTAAAAAGCTTTTGATCGTTTCCGTTCCTCCATTAGTTGCGACTCCGTGCGATGGCGACCATTTCAACCGACTTCCTAGAAGTCGACGAACGTCATCGGAATCCCAGTCATACTCGGTCGCGCTCAGGAGGCTACGTCGATACCATAGAAGAAAAGGCGAGATGGGATCGAAGGAGTCGCGAACAAGAGATGAAACGCTATCATGACAGTCGGCATGGTACAGCCTCATTTCCACGAATTTCTAACTCTCCTACAACGCCTGACCGACTCGGCGTCCCCGTCTTCGAAACTACTGGGAGGATGCGATCGAGTTCAGAAGCTGGTCAAAGGGACAGAAGGTCAGAACGACGGTACAACACTCAGGAGGTCCGGCCCAGCGCGATACCAGTTTCCGGCTACGACTTGACCAACGAGCCAGTCCTGTCAAGTCAACTACCTGTAAGGTACGAAGGCAAGCCGCAGCACCAGAAGAAACCAAGCATCAAAGTGGAAATCCACCAAGACAATCCTCCATTGCCCACAAGCGATCTGGCTTTTAGGGTGAAGCGAAGCCCGAGCGCTAGCCCAAGATCACCCACTGCACGGCCGGAACTTCAGTACCAATATGCGACGCTACAAAACAAACTGGACCAGATCAGTAGCACGTGTGCTCCATACATGGATGTTGAGGCTGCGGAACCTCAAGATCTCACGTTCGACAAGATAGTAGAACACACTAAAGCTTTTGCATTCGATCTGCAAGTGTGGGCTCATCTTTCAAACCTCGAGGGTATGGCTACGGTGGATAAGCATAAGAGAGAAGTCGTGGATGCCGCATCGCGAAGCCTAGCCCGACTGTTGTATCTGGTGGCAGAATTACACGACGCTTGCTCCAATGCGAAGCCGAGGGACCTGAAGTTCAAAAAGCTTCCTGAGATCGACGACGAGACGTTATTCGAGGACGGAGATGACGACAGGTATGTGATTTCGAGACGTCGACGGAAACTTCTCTGACTTAGAATATCAGCGGTGAACCAGACCCTACAGAAACCTTAAGCTTCATCATTCATTCCAGCCTAGACGGCATTGAGCTGCAAATCCAGAATCTGAAGAGATTGAGTCGAACATTGCAAGAGGCCACACAGGATGCAAAAGATGAGGTCGTGGCAGTCGCGAAGCTCGTAACGGAAACCGTGCAGTACTTCGGCTCGGAAGAGGCACTACATCGCTATGGGATCAATGAGAAGATCTCTGGGAGGAGAGGTTTGGAAGAAGCAAGGTACACGAATTCGCATTAGTCGCGTGAAGTTCAGGAGTGTGGTAAAGATGATGGAGACCAAGTAGCGTTTCGTACAGGCTGATAATGAAATTGAGGTACATTTTGACGCGTCTCGTTGTCGCGTTAAGTTGGTGATAAGGGATGGAAACGCGCGCGTTGCTGTGGCTGCCGCCGCCAGCCGCTCTAGCGTCGGCTCCACGACCGGAAGCTTGGGGGCATGACGTAGCGCATCAACATCTAGAACAGTGTGCCGTTAACTTGATTTGATACAGGAAATGTTCTGAAGGTTCTTTCCAATTCTAGTTGCGCTGGTTAACGTGCGAAAGAGATCTCAGTCATGCTGGATTCCATCTCGCGACATGTCGCTTATCCGCCCAGTTCTACCAGGCCCGGCTCCGCCGCTGACAGTAGAAACCATGAGCACGGTCTCGCATGGCCAAACACCCACGAATCCGACACCGCGTCGTTGCTACATCAAATCAAATCAAAATTCATTCGTGGAAGGCACTTGTTGCACATACAGGTTCAAGATAAGAGTATATTGCGGTCTTCTGAAGATTCAAAAGAGAAAAGGATATTTACAGCGCAGCAAAAGGAATGACTGCGAAGCTCTGACGACATGCCAGAACTGAGAATGGAATGTGCGTCACCCCAGATGAGAAAGGCTCAAGCCATCACCACAAAAGGCTACGACTACCATTTACGAGCACTTGGTAACGCTGGGTACGTTGGAGCACTTGTCGTAGGTCTTGCCGCCATTTACGGAAACATCTGTCCAGGTCCAGCCAGTGCAGGAGCCCTTTCCGCAGGTAACGACGACGTCGTAGCCACTGCTGGAGACATCACCAGTGACGTTGTCGAGCGTCAAACCGGTGATGGGGACGCCAGTATCAGCGTCACCGTGGAGGTCACCACCGTCGTAGTTTTGTTCAATGAGGACGCCATACTTGGAGATCTCAGACAGGGTAATGTCTTCGTAGGTGACCTTGTTGATCTTGCCGGTCGTTCCAGCGCGAGCCTTGACGCGGACGCCGTTGACAGACTTGGTGATCTCGGAGTTCGAGAAGGTAACCGTATCGACCGTGTTGTCGTCACGACCACCGACAGAGCCGATGGAGAGACCGTGTCCACCAGAGCAGAGGCCGTTCTTGAAGGTAATATCCTATCCGTATTGTTAGCAGGTGTCATCACCTCAATCCCCAGGGGATACATACGGTACCAGAGTTCACGGCAACACAATCATCCTGGTTGTAGACCTTTGCACCGTCGATGATGACGTTGCTGCTCGAGCCAATGTCGAAACCATCCGTGTTGTGACCTTGCTCGTCCTTGTCGCCTTCCGAGGCATCGATGGTCATGTCGGTAATGGTGAGACCGTCACATCCGTTGATACTGACTACTTGAACGGGAGGGTTCTTGATGGTAATGCCGGTGATGGAGGAGTCGGTGAGCTTGTGTGCGGAGAAGAACTTGGGCTTCGTCTTTCCGCCGTTTCCACCCTCACCGTCCCACCAACGAGCGCCGTCACCATCGAGGACGGATCCCTCAGCACCCTTGACAGTGATTTTGGTTCCACGGATGTCAAGAAGAGGTCTGAGAGTTGGTTCATGAAGTCAGTGCATGTCTCATAGATTTGTACTTGGATATTGCTTACCCTTTCCACTCTTTGTAGCCCCAAGTTGTGGTACCCTCGAAGATGACGGTGGTATCGTCAGCCAAGCTGGAGAGGTCCAGAGTAGTGCCTGAAGGAACAGCAACGTCCGAGAGGACCATGGTAGCACATGATGACTGCGACTTAGAAGCCTCAGCAGCTCCGTTCGAGCCCGAAAAGGTGCAGCTGGAGGCACGTTTCACGACTTCGGGCTTGGGTGCAGGAGTGATGGCCGGGGCTGGGGCTGCCACAGCGGACGCCGCCAGCGACGTGAAGAAGATACCAAGAGTCAAGGCGACCATTGTGAAAGATGCTTGATTTGAAGAAAGGCTTAAAAGAGCGAGTGAAGTGCTTGGTTGCTTGGCCTACATGCTTGGTACGCCACACATATATACGAATTCCTAGTAATGGTACACACGAGCGAATGACTTAGCCACCAACTAATTACTGATACATCGAATCTACATTTGACGGGATCATAATTTCCCGATTCAAGATTCTCCATACTGACAGATGAGGGATTGTTTCGAGATCCTCCACCAAGTGGGGAGCAAGAGGAAGAGATGAGAAGGACTTGGTCGCTCGAAGCAACGCTTGTTCAGTGCGTGGGTGTGGTCAGGGGAGATTTGTTTCGGAAAATCCTCCAATGAGTGGGACCCGCCCGATTTCCACTTTTCCAAGCCTGTCGTTCGAAGGTACCCTCGTGAACATGTCAATGCATAGCCAGAGTTGCGTGACAAGCCTCGGAAAGAACGGAAACTAAAAGGCTTGACTCTGCTCCAGCCCACTTCAGCGCAGTGGTGTGGGAAAGCTCTCTTCCATCGTGTGAAGTAGCGTACCGGAAATGGCTAGTACGTCCACCGGCCATAGATTGGGAATCTGCGTTATTCCCAGCCACCTCACGATGTCTCCTGACAACACCTATGGGCGTTTACTAAACACCAGCAAAGGATGCAAATTACATGTCATGTTCCTCCATGACGTGCACATACTTCCTCCCTTCCTGTTGTGGTAATCCTCCCGTTGGGGCAAGCTTCCAAGGTTCCTTCACGCGCCCTCGGCATCTCGGGCGAATGACGTTCCATCCGCCTCCGCAAACGCCACACATCTGGGGTCGCTAGTACCTTGCATATTACCCCGCTGAGCATTTCTTCCATGGCAAACATTATACCGTCAATGAGATCGTTCCGCGACGCGCAGGTCCGGATGGCGATCTTTGGCCGCGGCTGAAGTCCACGGGCTAGTTGCACGCGAGATCGAGAGCTATGTCGTAGAGCAAAAGTCGCGTCGCGTCTCATGAACTTTTCTTAATCACCGAGGAAGTCAAGATGCGGTTCTTTCATCTGTTCGCTGTCGCGATCTCGCTGTTCTTTGGTGTATTGGCGACCGATAATGGCCTGCAAACGGATGTGGAGTGGGATAATGGATCGCTCATGGTTAATGGCGAGCGCGTCATGATCATGAGTGGGGAATTCCGTACGTTGATGGTTTAGATGAATAAAGGGTAAATGAGATGAGTGCTAACTCAACTTTCGCATCTACCAGACTATGCTCGCCTCCCAGTACCTGAGCTATGGCTCGACGTCTTCCAGAAGTTCAAGGCGAACGGCATGAACGCCGTTTCAATTTACTTCTTCTGGTCGTACCATTCGGCATCGAAAGGCGCATACGACTTCACAACACCGGGGAAAGATATCCAGCGCCTGTTTGATATGGCCAAGGAAGCCGGACTTTACGTCATCGCACGACCAGGTCCATACTGTAACGCGGAGACAAATGGAGGTGGCTTCGCTCTATGGACCAGCGACGGAAGTGGTGGCAAGTATAGAACTTCGGATGAGACATACAGACAAGCCTGGTCAGAATGGATAGCGGAAGTTGGCGAGATCATCGCAAAGAACCAGATCACCAACGGCGGACCTGTCATCCTAGCGCAAGTCGAAAACGAACTGCAACAAACCCGTTACGAAGCCAACAACACACTGGTCATCTACATGGAACAGTTGAAGTCCGCCTTTAAAGACGCAGGCATCGTCGTACCTTTGTCACACAACGAGAAGGGCTTCAGGTCGAAGAGTTGGTCCACTGACTACAACAATGTTGGCGGCGCGATCAACGTTTACGGTCTGGATAGTTACCCTGGCGGCATGAGCTGCACAAACCTCGACACTGGATTCAACCTACCCAGGACTTACTACCAGTGGTTTCAGGAGGTCTCACCTACTCAGCCAGAGTATCTGCCCGAATTCGAAGGTGGATGGTTTCAGCCATGGGGTGGCTACTTCTTCGACCAGTGTTTGGCTGAGCAGAGCCCGGAATTTGCAGATGTCTTCTACAAGGGCTTGATCGGACAGCGAGCTAGCCTTCTGAACTTGTACATGGCTTACGGAGGCACGAACTGGGGCCATTCAGCAGCTCCCGTTGTATACACTAGCTACGATTATGACGCACCGCTACGCGAGACACGAGAAGTCCGCGACAAGTTCAAGCAGTACAAACTTCTCGCACTCTTCACCCGTGTCAGTAAGGGTCTTCACAACACGTTTATGGAGAACAATGGCACCGCAAACGCGGTCGACAACTCCGCAATCTGGACTTGGCAGCTCAAGAGCCGCGATACGGAGGGTAGGTTCTACCTTGCTGAGAACAACAACACTCGTACCCGCGCTGTTACCGATTTCTCTATAACGGTCAAGACATCTGAAGGCGATGTCAAGATCCCCAGCATGCAGCTTGCGGGCCGTCAGAGTCGATGGGTAGTCACGGACTATGCTGTGGGTGACGAAACGCTGCTCTACTCGTCAGCTGAGATCGCTACCTACGGCCTCTTTGATCGATCTGTCCTCGTATTCTACACCCGCGAAGGCCAGACAGGAGAGTTTGCGTTCAAATCGCAAGGCAACGTAACCTTCGAGGCATACGGTGCGGAGTCAGACCTTGCGAGTAAGCCGGCCAATAGCACCTACTCAAGCTTCTCGTACACCCAAAGCAAGGGTGCGACAGTCGTTAAATTCTCCAACGGCGTTCTTGCTTATATGCTTGATATACCGACTGCATGGACCTTCTTTGCGCCATCAACGACAGATGACCCTAACGTCACACCCGACCACCAGATCTTCGTGCTCGGGCCATATCTCGTCCGCTCAGCCAGTGCATCAGGCGGCACAGTTTCCGTTGTTGGTGACAATACAGATGCGACGACTATCGAGGTATACGCCGGCTCTGATGCGGAGACGATATCCTGGAATGGAAAGGAGCTCGCTACGACGAAGACTCCCTATGGTGCTCTCACTGCGAAGATCGCTGGAACCGCAGAACGCGAGATCACTCTTCCAGAGCTCTCCAACTTCAAGGCTGCTGAGTCTTCG